AAGTCAAGTCACAGCTTATCTTCATGAACCAAGTCAAGTCACATTTTATTGTCATAAGTCAAGTTAAGTCACAGCTAATCTTCATGAACCAAGTCAAGTCACAGTTGTTCTTCATGAGTCCAGTCACGTCACAGCTGATCATCCAGAGTCTCGTCACGTCACAGCTGATCATCCAGAGTCCCGTCAGGACACAGCTGATCGTCAGGAGTCTTGTCATGTCCTGTCTGTTGCACCCAGATCGTCAAGGTCAGTCTTTCGGTATCCCGGGCTGGTATCTAGTGTGAGGGATACACCACTGGTGTCTTTTCCCATTTTTAGTTTTAGTCTGGTCTAGTCTTTCCGTGTTGCCTTGTTGTCTGTTTCCTGACCTTCTGCCTGTGTTTACTGGATTACCCCTCTTGTCAAGCCCTCTGGATACTGTTCGCTGATCGTAGACCCACGCTAGCCCAAGGAATATTCTTTGTCTTGCCTGTGCCATACCTGTTTGCTGTTGTTCGACACTGCCTGTGTTTGACCACTTCTCTTGTGAAATAAAGCTTGCACATGGATCCGCACGTCTCTAGTCTCGTCAGCCCCGTTACAGAATACTCGGCCGCGCAAGGATCCAGCAGCTTTTCAGAGGAACATTGGCCAGGTATGGACACGGCAAGGATTTTGTTAGCCCTTAGACAGGGTCCGCGATCGCTAGAGAACTATGTTCGCAAATTTTTGGCCATAGCACACTATTCGGATCTACCAGACTGTCTTTTGATAGAGTTTTTTTGTGATGGCCTTAATCAACCTCGTTCACAAGTCCACGTTCGTCACTGAGTTGTTTTTTGGAATTTGCTTTGACTGTTGGCTCTCTATTCACTGTGGGTATCGCGGAGGATCGCGACCCCTTACTCACTCGTGTAATGGCCCCCGCACTAGATTACGCTTACAAAATGGTGGCCACAGATGAGCCTGATCGCAAAATGGCGGACACAACAGCTCCCCGTTATGTGAAAGTTGATCTTCATGAACCAAGTCAAGTCACAGCTTATCTTCATGAACCAAATCAAATCACAGCTGATCTTCATGAACCAAGTCAAGTCACCGCTGTTCTTCATGAGTCAAGTCACAGTTGATCGTCATGAATCAAGTCAAATCCCAGTTGATCGTCGTGAGACAAGTCAAGTCACAGCTGATCTTCCTGAGTCCAGTCAAGTCATAGCTGATCTTCCAGAGTCCAGTTAAGTCACAGTTGATCGTCATGAGGTAAGTCAAGTCACAGCTTATCTGGAGTTTTCTTTCTCCAGAATAGGTACAGATAGATTTCAGCTTATAGGGATACCGGCACTGGATGGCCAATTTCACATGTATTTTGTGTATTTTCAAAATACAAAATACTGTATTTGTATTTAAATACATTTTTCCACACAGTATTTTTATTTTAAATACATTTTCATGTATTTATGCCCATCTCTCTCTCTCTCTCTGTGTGTGTGTGACAAATGAGGACATACATTTGTATAATGACATAGGTATTACAAGGAGAAGGTGACTTTTCAGGACATTACCCCATGTCCCCACTTTTCAAAACGCTTATAAATCACACAGAATGGAGTGTATTGAAAATCTGAAATAGCACAACGTTTTCTGTAAAGGGTAGGTTTAGGGGTAGGGTTGGTGTAGGGCAATAGAATATACGGTCTGTACAGTATAAAAACCATTACGCCTATGGGATGTCCCCACTTTTCACAAAAACAAACCTGTGTGTGTGTGTGTGTGTATTTGACTACACTTGTTGCAGTGTTTGGTTTTGATTCACTTAAAAAGAATCAGTTCATAACAGTGACTTGTGAATTAGACTACAATTGTTGTGCAGTATCATTTTGATTCACATAATGAGTTCATAACAGTAATTTGTTTGAAGTAAACCACTTGTTCAGATTCTGATTCACTTAAAAAGAACCTTTTGATAAAATACCTTTAATTGTGAATCAGAAAACACTTGTTGTACTGCATGATTTTGATTCACTAAAACAGTTTATTTGAGAATCACACAATACTTGTTGCATTGTATGACTTTCTTTCACTTAAAAAGATTAAGGTTCTTAAGAGTCATTTGTTTATAAATCAGACTACACATGCTGTGTTATGAGTTTGATTCACTTAAAAAGCACCAGTTCATAAGAGTCATTTTTTTGTGAATCAGACTACATTTTTTGTGTTGTATGATTTTGATTCACTTAAAACGAATAGGTTGTAACAGCAACTTGTGAATTAGACTACACTTGTTTTGCATTGTCATTTTGATCCACTTAAAAATAATGAGTTCATAACAGTCATTATAATCTGACTACAATTTATTCTTCTGGAACATCTGGCTGTACTGTATGATTTTGATTCACTTCACTTTGATTCACTCTTATTAAAGACATTTGTGATTTGAACTACAATGGTAACAATGTATGCACCAAAAGCGGTGTGAGAAACACTAGAGTAAAGGATTGCTCTTGGGGTTTTAGGAAATATATTTTATTTTATTATATTGTATGGAAAATTACTGGGAAAAAAATCCAGTACAAATTCTTAAAAAGCTGAAAATTCAGACTACACTCAGTTCAATAGCGAGGCATATTCTTTTAATTACAGCGGTAAGACATGGGTATTTCTCTCTGGGTTATGTGTGCTTTAACCTCTGGATTTGACACAGAAGAGCTAGCTT